GATTTGTCTACCAATGATACGAAGCTTAATATCTCAATCACATATGATATGGATTTGTCCACCAATGATACGAAATTTAATATCTCACCACATATGATATTGAATTGTCCACCAATGATATGAAATTTAATATCTCACCACATATGATATGGATTTGTCCACCAATGATATGAAATTTAATATCTCACCACATATGATATTGAATTGTCCACCAATGATACGAAATTTAATATCTCACCACATATGATATGGATTTGTCCACCAATGATATGAAATTTAATATCTCACCACATATGATATGGATTTGTCCACCAATGATACGAAATTTAATATCTCACCACATATGATATGGATTTGTCCACCAATGATATGAAATTTAATATCTCACCACATATGATATGGATTTGTCCACCAATGATACGAAATTTAATATCTCATCACATATGATATTGATTTGTCCACCTATACATTCACACATGATCAGCGTATATTCTATTATGTACACCCATGATCAATGTATGCAAATTCAAAATTCCTGCCAGTTTTAGAAATTGGGAAAGAATTCAGATTGATAAATAGAAAGGGAATGTCACAGTAAATGTCTTTTTGTCATACAGTTGTGATGTAGATACACACTACTCATGTGTGTTAAAGAGATGTGCAATTTATACTTGCTACAGAGAATCAGGCTTCAGTTGTAATAGTATATGTCCTAGTTCTCTACTTTCTTTCAATACTTCACCATAAAAGTTTTGTTTGACAAAATACCTTAGGTTGTCAGATTCTTCAAAATTCATTGACCATAAAATATCGACATAGAATGTTATCAAAGGTTTGGCTCCAACTGTTTGAAAAAAAATAGAGGAAAATTGTGTCCTGAAATGTCTGCATATGTAATTTTATACTTGAATAGTGTTCTTCATTGGGACATTTGCATTGAAGGTACACCAAAAAGTGAATGTTCTTATAAAATAAATAAATATATTTCTTATTAAATTATTAGCTGCAACTTTTCATTTACCTTATTCAAAGTCAAAGGCTTGCAAAAAGAGAAGAAACAACAACATGTGTTTAAGAAATACTATGCCCCCTGTTGCAACAAAATTCTGAAGTGGGGCATTATAACTGTACAGTGTAAGGCATGTGTAAATTGCATGCACACTTTGTGAAACACATGTGTCTTCATTGTGCAATAGTTTAGGCCAATATTTAAGTTTTTCAAATGTAGGTCAATGGTCACATGGTCAAAGGTCACATGGTCAAAGGTCACATGGTCAAGGTCACATGGTCAAAAACTTTGGTACCAACAGAAAGGTCTTGTCACAAGGAATAAACAGACTTGCCAAATATGTAAGCCATACCTCTTATGATGCAATAGTTATGGCTTTAATTTTTTTAATTGTAGGTCAAAGGTCAAGGTCACATAGTCAAAAACATTGGAACCATCGCAAAATTCTTGTCACATGGAACACACATGCAAAATATGAAAGTTATACCTCTGACAGTGCTATAGTTAAGGACAGTGTTAAGTTTTTAAAATGTTGGTCGAAGGTCAAGGTCACATAGTCAAAAACTTTGGAACCATTGCAAAATTCTTGTCACATGGAACACACATGCAAAATATGAAAGTTATACCTCTAACAGTGCTATAGTTAAGGACAGTGTTAAGTTTTTAAAATGTTGGTCAAAGGTCAAGGTCACATAGTCAAAAACTTTGGAACCATTGCAAAATTCTTCTCACATGGAACACACATGCAAAATATGAAAGTTATACCTCTGACAGTGCTATAGTTAAGGACAGTGTTAAGTTTTTAAAATGTTGGTCGAAGGTCAAAGTCAGTGTCACATGGTCTCTCTTGTCACAAGAAAAACATGCCAAATATGAAAGCCCTACCTTTTACGATGCAAACATTGATGTCAGACTAGTAAACAGAGCACAAAAACAATATGCCCACTATCATTCGACCTGGGGGTATAAAAATTGACTGACTATAAATGACGTATAAAATGGCGAAAACTCTGTAACACATCCTTCTATGTAAACATGTATTTTCAACATGATCATTTCATAAATAACAAGATTTTGATGAGAGCATTAATCAATGACATTACATGACACATCAAATTTTTTATGTCTTCTAAGGGAAGTAATTTACTCTGATTAACCTACTTTCTTATGAGTTACAGCTAAGATCACTTTCCCCAGTGCAATAATGAATGGAAATACTTTGATATATAATGTCTGCTGTCTCTCAAGGCAGGTAACGTGTCAAATTATTGACCTTATTTTCAGAAATCTATCTAACTATAAAAGTAATAATCAAGCTGTGAATTTTTTTCTCGCCAATACCACACCTTCCGATAGAAAACACAAAAAACTATGGTATTAGTATATATAATCTATTGCAATAATTTACTTTTATGGAAAATGAAATAAATTTGAAAAAGAAAAACAAAAATAGTCACGTGTACTGTTGGTTTGATTACCACTAAATGACCTGACAGTAACATTTCACAAATCCATCCCTCCATCCCTCCCTCTCCCCCCAACCAACCCCCACCTCTACCCCTTTACCTCTATCAGAACAAATGACTTTTAAGAGAAAGTAATTATATACTTATTTAGTTCTATCAAACTCTGATCATAACTTTACTTGTATATCCTTGTACAAATTCACAAACCGTGAACTCGGTAAGGAATAGAATAAAAGGATTGAATTTTCATAGCTGGGCCTTTGAAAAAAACTAACTGCTTAAACAGGTAAATCATCCATCTAATTTTTATTTCTTTTATCAAATGAAGATCTGACCTAATTCTGACTCCAATGACCTGGATCAGACATCAACCTCACCCTTGTTCAATGTGACATTCTGTTTTTCTGCTAGGCATGTTAACCTTCTGGGTGATGATATGTCATCTCGGCTCCTAAGTAGGTGTAACACTCCTCTTAATATCTCTGGTTTCACCACCTAAGAGTATGATCACAATCGTTGTACAAAGCTCTGTCGAGTAAAAGGTACCAGTAACAATTTTTTTTTTCAGCTTTTGACACAATCAGAGAAAAACTGAATACAAACTACACATATGAGAGATAAATTTTATATCGTTGAACAGTTTTTTAAATTTAATTCAGCATTGAAATTTTTTATTCTTTTCCGTGGGAAACTTGCCATTGGTTTGTACAAGCACATGTAATGAAGTTTGACCCTAGTTTTGTAGCTAGGATTTTACCTAGTACTACAAGCTTTGATTACTCCATGGTTATAGACAATGTTTGTGGACTTTTCCCCCAAGGTTTGTTCCAACCTAGATGCCACGTTCTAATTCACTCAAACAGTGGCACAGTTCAGAATATACACATGTACATGACGTTTCTTTTCAAATTAATATTTAATGCTTGGGGACTTTTCCCCAAAGGTTTGCTTTAACCTGGATACCTCATTCTAATTCGATCAAATAGTGGGTCAATTCTGATTATACACATGTACTTGGCATTCTTTTGAAATAAAATTATGAAATTTATTGAATTTATAAATTTATTGAATTAAGGGGCTCGTGCACCTCCCTGTCCAGATTTAAGATATTCTTTCGATCACTTTAATTTTGTCTCAGTAGCTGCCTGTTTCAAAACTTTAGTCCTTATATGTGGGGCAGTTACCATATAGGTACTGGCTGCAGGTTGGTGGTTTTTCTCCAAATTCTAGCTTTCCTCTACCACCTAAACCTGGCATGCTGTCAAATGACCTTGGCTGTTTGATATGACATAAGGCAACTATATTCCGAACGGAACTCTAATCTTGAGTCGTAGAAGGTTGAAACTGCTGTATGATGTAGTTAAATTCATCTTTTAGCTCCGACCTAATTCTAAACTTGTAGTAAAGCAACACTATTCCAAACCGAACCCTTATCATGAGTCATAGAAGTTGAAACTGCTGTATGATGAAGTTAAATTCATCTTTTAGCTCCGACCTAATTCTAAACTTGTATTAAAAAATGCTTTATACTTCTGAATCATTTGTTCATTCTTCAAGGTTTAAAAGATGTTTCGCAGGAATGGAGCTTAACTGAATTGATTACTGTACAGATCTGTGAGGCCAAATTTTTGATGTTAAAAAAAAAATAATGTGCTTAGTCGATTTCATGGATAACTATAGCTCGAGAAGTCCACTATAAAGTTTGTGGACACGAATTTCTGGATTAAGTGTACCTACGAAACCATCAAAATAAAAAACCCACAAAAGTAGTGAATTTACAGTAGTTCATGAAAGGTTGTTTTTTCTCTGTATGACGCTCAAAGTTTGTTGCGTTAAAATTTTTGTAGTAGTTGTACCCTTGTGCGTAAGATTATAAATACTACTTTTTTGTTGTGTATCTTAAATTTGTACATCATTTGTGAGTGCTGGTGTTAGACATAAGACCTGAATTGAGGTTTTGAAAAAAAAAATGATGTGCTCAGTCGATTTCATGGATGATTACAGCTCAATAAGTCCACTATACTTGTGAACTGAAGTGTATTATGTTGTAGTTTTAATGATTTTTTGGCTCTTTTGTTTGTGATGCTTTAAGTGAAATGTTTTTGTTATGATTGGCTGGTAGGACTATATAGTTATTCTCAGAGGAAAGAAATGGAGAAAGAAAATAATATGTACTGTGTTCAGTTTAGATAAATTTATTTTTTAGAGTTTACCCATACATTTATGTTACAAGTAACCTTAAAATTTAAATACACAATTTAGAAATCTCAAAACTTTCATTTAATTAGTAAACAGGTCAATTTATTACGTTACATTTTTGACACATGACAATTTAATTGGATAAGAAAAATATTCTGTAATCTTTCCTGCATGACTTAATGTCCATGACCATTGATACTTGCCTTTAAATGATTTTTGAGTAACATCATTTTCAAGAGTTAGTTGAGGCATTCTGTATAGTAATATTTCCATGTTTGACTTTAAACCTGTAGCTTATATTGTATGATAAAATTCTATCTTTGCAGTGATGGTGAAGGTGATTTGTTCAATTCAAAATTCATCACACGACTTGCTGGAGTTGCAGTAGATTCAGAGGCTGAATCAGATGCAGATATGAGCGAGTCAGAAGAGGAATACGCTGGTGATGGTCCTCCCGTGAGGAGAATGGGCAGCAAGTTGTCAAAGAAGTCAGAAGAGAATAACAACTGGATGTCATGGTGTACTCTCCTGTGAAAAGATTAATTTTAAATTAAAGCAAAGTTACTATGCATATACCAAAACAGTATTCTTGTTTGTCTTTTTTCAAATTGTGGATTTTTTTTTTTATATGATTTTAGATATAATTAAACTCTCCGCATATTTGATTAAAAAAACAGTAACAACTATGCATTTAGCCTTGTCTTGAAATTGTCATTTCAGACTATGAATCCAGAAGATCAAAATTTGATTGTTCATTTATTTTATACATTAGTTTTAAATTAGATTAATTTTTTTGAAAAAGAACGTTTCCTAGGCGATAGAAATTTGTAAAACAAAAAGATACGTGTCAACAGAGTTTCACTTCAAGCATACAACACATCTTTTTAATGTACTTTTCATCCACTCACCCAAATGCCTTACAGATATAGATTTGAGTTACATTTGATTTAATTCACTGTAGGTGTTCATCAGTTCTACCCATCTTTATTCCCTAGCAAGCCAATATGAAAAAATGCAGTATCTAGATAATAGGGCGTGATAGCATAGACAGTTGACATAGCAAAGAAAATAAAAATAAAAATTATCTGCTGCATTGAATACAAATGCACTGCCTAGATAAGAGATACTTATACTGGTAATGAATACAAATTAGTAAGCACAATGACAAAGGAAGAAGATTTTATATCACAGACTATTAGTTAACTATAAAAATTTGAATTCTTTGTAGGCAGGGATCAAGAATGCGAGATTCCGCTCAATTATGAATCAGATTTTAAAAAAAGAAATGGAATAAAGCATTTTCAACATTTACAATAAAATTTACAACTTGTGAAAATACAAGTGAATGAAAAAAGCTCCGATTAAAATTCTGATACCTGTATTTGAAGGATGCAGTTCATAGAATTTAGTGTGATTCTGACCGACTTTTTTAAACAAAAATTAGTGTTTATTTGTTAGAATCCAGAATAAGCTTAAGGCTGTACTCCACTGAAAAGTCAAGAAATTTCATTATTAAACCTTTTTTCTGACCATGATTTTTTGAAAGGTGTGGTTTTAGAAAGAAGATCAAAAGCCAGAAATCAATATGTACTTTGTCCGGTACAGGCATCAGAATATGTGTATCAGCAAATAATTCATTTCCATATATATATCTGGGTTTTTTTGTCCTGAATCACGGACATCCTCTGTTCTTTCCGTGACTACATTTTTTAAAAATAAATATTCGTCTTGCAATACAAGTAAGGGTATTATACTTGGACATTAAGAACAAAAAATCAACAAAAAGTCATTTGAAAATGTTTAAATTTGACATATCAAGTTTTAATCTCCACAATAAGCAAAAATGAAAGTATTAAAAAATAACTGTTTTTTTCATTTTAACCTTGTTCTCATATTAAACTCTTTTTTTTTGTTGGGGAAATTTTCAATGATACTATTCTTGATTAAATAAGAGGGGGGAGGGGGGTGTGTGAGCTTAATTTTTTGCAATTTTCAACTAAATAGTTAGTTTTGCAAAGATTAAGAAACCATCTGAATCTGGGAAAATGCGGGAAAGTGGCCACCAAGTCGGAATTCACAAATTTTAAATCTGTGATTCGTGATGATTATTCATGCGAAAATTTAGACTCCCAGAGTTAATATTCCAGAGAAGTATCTTAGTAACCAGAAAACATTTAAATTGTTGAGACTATTGACCGAATTACGCCGTCAACTTCGCTGCCACAAAATGTAGTCCACAAGCGAAATTTCGAAAAATTCATAAAAAATTTGCCTGTTTTCAGCTTAGACGTATAATTGCAGATGCCAGAATATATAAAAAGACAAAAGTTCAAGATATTAAACTGGAATTCATTTTGTGTTTATTTATTTTTTCTTCTGGTAAACACATAGTAGATAAGGTAGTCTCTTTTGCATATAGGAAATCTTCTGGTCCAATACAAAGGTCACAATTCAATATGGCTGACATTCAAATGTTCGTTTCACAGGAAGCAAATTTTTCTTCTTTTTTCATTCTTTGTTTTATATTAAGCATGAATGTCATTGTTGCATGAAGTACGATTGTGAAATTCTTAAATAAACATGTCATTGTTCATTTATAGCAATTCTACGTATCTTTAATACCTTCCTTCGACTGAATTCTTAAAACCAGATTCTTATTTAGGAAATAAAAAAACTTTCACACCCATTTTGACTAAAAAATTTGCAAGTGTGCATACAAAGAGGCTTATTATGTTTGTGTCTTTTGTGCTTAGGATGCAACCGTGAAAACTGTGTTATAAAAAAAAAACCAAGAAAATATCAACATGTCAACAGTCATTATCCAAAATCACATTCAATAAAACTAGGGCAAAACATGAACCAAAAACATCTACATGGGTACTCCAGAAAAAGTATAAACAGAATAAGACTAAGTGTTCCAGAAGAGTAGGCGTCTTTAGCTTTATCGACGACAATCGCCATGTAAACATTGGCCAATTTAAACAAGGAATATCAGGTTCTCAAATGAGAACAAGGTATCTTACAAAGGATCAACAGCCAAAGTAGCGAGCATCAGACATGTCTAGTCTTATCGCACAAAGAAATAGAATTTTCCTCAAGGCGATCACTATGACAACCGTAAAAATTTGGATTAGATACAATAGGTCAAAATGATTTATCAGACTGGATCATACCACTTTGCTGCTTTCTAGGACTCATCAGTGTTGTTAAGGGTCTCAATCTATGAAACCTAGGAGGCGACTGAGGCAAGGCACAATTCATCTATGTGTCAGGCACCAGATTGGGGGGGATACAGTAGGCCAAAGAAACCTACATTTTAGATAATACTTGATTGTTTTTAACAAAAACCAAAGAAATACCGAAAGATCAACAAAAATATACTTCATACTAAAATCTGATAAGTATGAACAAAATAAAGAAACATTCGGAGCTCTGCAAAAAATCAAAATCCCAAGAAATGCAACGAGAAAATGTTTTTGAGCACGCTGAGTGTCTTCTTCATCTACGACACCTGCTATGTAAATCCTGATCCATTCATGAAAGTAATGTTACATTCTCAAGGTAAATAACAAGACACCAGGCATATTAAAAGAGCATCAAACATGTCCAATTTCATATCACATAGGGTCAAAGAATGTGTAGTATACAGTACCATTCATCTCGAATTTGATTATGGTTTTATTGGAACCATGCTGTGTACAATAAACCATTTGTTGGTGGAATGGGGTCTGCTTCAAGAACAATTGAATACCAGCGTGTGAAAAGAATCATAATCCCGGGTCAATGTGATTAAAACTAGGGCAAGGTATGAACAAACGAAAGATTTACACAAGGACTCATGAAAAAGTACAAATATGATAGGACCAGGTGCTGCAGAAAAGTTACGACACCCACCATGAAAATCTCTGTCAATCCAAAGAAATGTCACGTTCCCATATGAGAATTGGGGTAAGATAGACAAATGTTTTCTGTTACTTAAAATTTGTTGCAAAATTTTAAGGCAGGACAAGAGAAAATATTTATTTCTTGAATAGATTCATGAAAAATATTCAACTGCTAATTGTAAGGATTACTTATGAACGAAAGCACACTAGCCCTCATCTGCTAAAATCCAAATAAATTTAGTTCTGATATGAGTGACATTCGTTGAATAGCCTTGCACAGACGAATGTATGAGTTTATGCATAAAGCTGACCAAAATGGAAGAAAATAATTCATGTTTAAACCATGTTAGGGATTATTGTGTCTATAAGTGAAAAAAAGACAGGCTATATACGTTTGCAGTGAAATAATTGAATATTCTTGCAGGTGCGCGACCTTAAGTCTAGCGACTGACAATTTGAAAGTATGCAAGTAATCCCATACCAGTCACATTTTCACTTGTGAAATGTAAACGTCAGTTATGTAACAGAAAGAGTTGTTCGAAATTTAATTATAATGTAAATCCACTAACAACATTCAGCTACATAAATGCAAACAAACGCCCTTCAATACACAATCGTTTATTTATACACAAGAATTAATTGTTTAACGGATATTATTCCGAAATTATATGTAATATGTTTTTAATTGATGGTCTATTCTTTTGTAGTTAAAATGTTAGAATACAAAGTGTTATTCTGTTACCTGAAGGAATATAGTTTCCTATAGGTCACTTTAAATACTTTAAGAAACCGTGCAAGAGATTGGAAGATAATTATAACCTTGCTGTATCTATTTCATGTCGTAAAATGTTGCTAATTGAGCAAGACACCTCCTGTAGGTCAGATATATATTCTTGTGTATCAGATATCACAGACACATTGAAAAAAACAAAATACAACTACTGCCCCTATTGCAACACTTGGGATGTTGATCCTTCTGCTTTCTGTCTTTTTGTGTCCCTCTTGACACCTGTCCTCATATGCTCCAGATTGCTACGAAGATGTTCAACCCCGATTTGATATCACATTTAGATCTATAAATAAATATAATTCTTCACAGGAGGTATGGTAAAACGCCTTTTGAATCAGAATAGGATATCCTCTTTCATATGATAATCACAAATAGGTTTTTCACACTGGAGTCTCTCAATTATGATATTTTTCATCTCATTCCTCCGTTGATGAAGCTATGATTGAGACTTAAAGCTATATTTCAGTGTTTTGCGACCTGGGTATATCAGGTACTCTAATAAATGTTTTGATGTACCAAATCTCCCTCAAACTCAAAATGCCCTTGACATATTTAAAGTACCGATATGTCCATTAAATAATGTCAGTATTTGTCTGGCTGGTTCACAATTATTGGTAAATACATAATAATACTGGGCCTACATTGAAGTGTACCCTAAATTGTTTTCATATACCCCTTTGGAGAGATATTAATTGGCTAACATATGTCCATACACTACAAAACAGAATGAGCAAGTCAAGTATTTCAAATAGGCACACATCGGTCAAACTAGATTGCCGAACCTACTTAATATATGGGACGCTAAATGGAAAAATATGTGTTTCTATTTGAACTTTGTACGGCTAGTACGACGGGCTTGTTATGAAAACTGGTCATGGCCACCAGGACAACAACAAAGCGATACTAGTCT